GTTGTTTATACGTGATGGGTTTAAATTAATAAGGAAGTAAGTTAAGAGTAGAAGGTGATTGTACTGAGGAAAGGTTAAAGGAGAGATGTCATGGCCATTTCCACTGATCATAATTCCATTGTTGAGGTATACTAAAATAGAAAAATACTGTGCAATTTTCTAAACTCAGATTGGTTTCGCATACAGCATCTCTGTAAAGTATGTGTATTCAGCAGTATTCATTTTCTCCACTAAACGGCTCGCTGCAGCTCCCCCCCCCCCTCGTGATTCCTTGTTTAGCACAGCCAAACAGCCAAACACAGCCAAACTCAACCTGAACACACACAAAGTCACAGCCGAAATAAAAACAATAAGTGTGGCTTGATATTGAGTAAGAAAAAGGTTTATAGGTTGATAAACGCTGTGAGAATGGGTCTGCAGAGAGAATTTCGCGCGATCCCAACTGTCTGTTATCAGCCTGCAGCAGGGAGGAGAGATCAGCAGAGCTGCCTGCACTGAGTGTGTGTGTGGATTGGTCAATTTGGACCAATCAGCGGGGGCTTAACGTAACGGCTCCGCGGACGTAACGTAACGGCTCCACGGATTGGCCCATTTAGTTCCGGGTACGTGAGCACGTACCCGGAAGAATCAAATGGATGATGACGTCATGATGACGTTTCACCAACGAGGCGTTTTGGGGAGGTATTTTCTGTTTTAGAGTTTTACTCGCTACAGGGTGTACTTTGAGGGTTTTGACTCTGCACACCGTTTACATGCAGAAAAACCTTCATAACACACAAGGGAACGGGTAATAACCGGAAAAGCATGACATGTCACCTGTAAATGACTGATTGAATCCCCCTTGTTATGAGGTCAGCATTGTTTAACTGATTATATATAAGGCAAAAACACTCTGTTTCAAACGGTCTCTTCCATGCTGCATTACAAAAAAGACATTTGATTCATCACACAAAGTCTATATGGCCGCTGTATGTTGACATCACTTGTGTTCCCATGCCACCCTGCTGTGAAAAACACACTCGGCACTTTCCAAAATGGCAAGTTCTCGCACCTTGCAATGTGGGTGTGTACAAGCTCAGAGAAAATGCTAATTGGAAACCGGATGACTACAATAGATGATACCACATTTAGAACTTAGGCAGCTTAATTTAATTTAAGTTGTACATGTTTCATTATTTCTATTCTATTTTACATGTATATATAGTTAACTTATTCCTGCATTTTAATTGCACCATTGTGTCACCTGCACTTTCAACTTCATAATCTTTCATTTCTTCAGTATATTGTAAATTGCACTGTTGGAAGACCAATAACTACACTGTAACTGTTAAATATAGTCAAATAAAGCCTGCATCTTTGTATCTCTAAGTACCTTATTTCCCTTTGTAAATATATACAAGCAGAGAGAATATATGTAGTACTATCCAGTAAAATCAGCAGCACAGAAAATCTATCAAGCTTTTTTTCCGTGGGTCCAGCTTGCAGCCATACACCCATGTGGGATTTATTCTTAAATATAAAACCGTGTTGCCCTGTGATACGATCAGCAGAGCCAATTAATCACATTTCTGTTTGTAGCACACTCCCATGGTTATCTGAAGCTCTGCTTGTGTCCAGGAAAGACTAATTGTGGAATCAGAGCTTCGGTAGTATGCGATACATTTAAGCAAGACTTTTCCTTTGTTGTGACTAATCAGGGTGAGTATGCCATATGTTACATCATCACAATCGAGAGAGTGGACAGGGCCAAAAGCTGAGTCATGACACTCCTGTTCTGCACTGCTTTAGAGAAATGATCTGACTGGGGGGGGGAAGTGAATGAGTAACGCTCTCTCCTCCTTCAAAAAAGAGGCCGTTGAGATGCCCTGGAGCAATAAGCTGCTGACCTCCAACTGCTCAGTTGTCGCCGGTCGTGGACGTGTTGGACAGCACCCGGGCGTGTGGCTGACTGGGTGAAAAGCAGGGTGTTGCTGATGAAATGCCAGTGTGCCAAGTCAGCTCTGCAAGGTTGAATATATAATGGTATGTTTGAACCTGACACACAGCCCTGATAAAAGAGCTAAGTCATTTAAAATGTGGTGTCTCTTAATACTGAGATGTTTGAATATGAGAAACTTTGTTATAGATACCTTAAGGGCACTGTTGGAAATTTAACATCTTCTTCCTGCGCCTACCCAGGTCTACTGAACACTATCCATCAGCCATAAGCATATTATTCCAAATGAACCCAAACTGCCAACCTTAATCTCCCTTTCAAAACGGAAAAAGGAGAACATTTTTAATGTGTCCTACATTGGGTCCAATATTGTTTCATCTTAAAAATAGAGAAAAAAACACTGCTCACCCTGTAGCTCATGTCCTGAAGCTATAGACTATTAAACCTAATGAAAAAAGACTCTGTAAACTCCAATCTCTGCAAGGCGTATTATGTATATTTTTGCTCAGAATGGAGACTTTTTTAATCTTTATCTAAAAACAATAGTCACAGTTGATGCCATTTTTCTAGTGTTCATATTGGCCATTAGAAGTTGCATTTTTTCCCTTCCTGTTTGCTTCAGCACACATGAAAGATAAAGGTTAACTGACTGAATTGAAGACAGGACATTTCTGTTATGTTTACGTGTTCAAGACCACCGAACAAACTGAGGGTTTGACTTAGCTTCTATGTGTTAAGACACCAGTTATTTAGCCTGGAGACATTTCTACACATGTATTTTTTTCAAAAGCACATTGGTAGACCAGAGACTGTAGCTAGATAACTAGGCCGACCACTTGTATTCCTGGTGATAAGAGTCATCATTATTCAGTTTGGGGTGTGTGTTCAGTTTGTCTTAAAACTACATTCAGGGGCATACATACAATGAAACCTTCCAGAGTAACTGTGTTTTTAGTGTGAACAGTTTCAATCTGTTTCAGTTTGAATAATGGTGAACCTCTCCTCCAATGTCACACACCTAATTTGCTGCATAGACACATTTATTAGACGAAATGTAGAGACTCGTGTTTATGGAAGGTGAAAAGAAACGAGTCCAATGAAATGTCTGCTTCATTAACCACCCTGAACACTCATATCAATCAAAGCATGCACTGTACAGTGAAGCAGGGAAAAAGCACAACTTGGACTTTGCTTCCACCATCTGTTCAACAGGCAAAGCTGCAGCATGTAGAAACTGCAACTCTAACAGCAACTTTGATCCCATTGTTCACTGCACTGGGATTGCATGACTGATCCTACCTACACCAAGCACACATTATTTGTAGGTTTTTAATGTGGAATTGTTCCATATTATGGTAGATAGATGCCAGAACAAGAAGAGTCAATGCTCAGTGAAGCTCTGATTGTTTGTTGAGATTCATGTGTTTGCCTACTGAGAGAAGTATGTTAAGACTTTTGCAAAACTGACTCACACAGTTCACAATACTTTGAAAGAAATTGAAGATTGTATAAAATTATTTCCATCCAAAACAAACATATCTTATTTAGAATAGAACTGTGTACTTCAAATTAAATCAGCTCTATAAAGTAGGCCCAAGCTTGCATATAGATTGCATTCAGCATCCTTCTTATCCAATTTTTATGATATTTTCTAAATTAGTTAGAAGGTATAAAACAATTATACTCAATTGCAATTATCTCAAATATGTACTTACATTCAATACTTGATATTTGCCCGTTGTTACATTACCCACTGCAAATATGGTAAAATGTATTAATGTTGGTTATTTTATGCCAGATCTTTCCAAGATCAATTTTTCATTTTCATTTGGTAATAAATTAAACATTTTGAAGAGCTGCGGTTTGTTCACGATGCCTCTAAATACAGCAATGACAGACTGTGCGCAGATTAAAAAAAACAGCTTCCTGCTTTTGCACCATAAGACAGAGAGAAAGCAAAAGAGAGTTTTTTTCATTTCTTGAATAACACTCTACTTCTGAGCCGCTGCTGTCAACATCTGAATCAGATGGCGATCACAGTTGTTATTTAGGCAGGTAAGCTTTAACTTCATCTTCTAAAGCTGTTCGATTTTTAATATCAACCGTGACAAAACATGTATCTTTATCTAAAAGTATTTATGTTTTTTAATGCCGTTTTTTTTAACAAGCTTGAAATACATCACAGGAACTGTACAGGAAATCTCTACAAGCTACAATAAATCACGTAGGCTTGCAACCACAAAGAAGCTGGTGAGAGAAAGATGGAGCAAATGAGTGTTGCTCATGAAACAGACGATGGCCCTCAAGGTAAGAATGTCAAAATAAAGAAAAAGAAGTGCATAGGGCAATACATTGCAAGTCATCAAGGGAAAAGGTTTTGTTTCCGAAGAGTTTGTTCCGATCCTTAAGATTTCAAAATCAAATTCAAAGGAGGTTTATTGGCATCATCGTATATCAAAAACATAGTAATGAAAAAGCAAGTTTTACAAGGTGTTGCAACATTGCAAAGAAAAAGAAAAAGAACACCAAACATCTATGCCAACAATCACATGTCATTAAAAATCAAATCAAGTCTGCGTGGTTGTGTCGTGTGTGTGTGTGTAGTCACTTACTGATCCTGAGGTTGTGGCTGGTAAAAACATATTCTGCTGACACTGCACCTCTCTTTGGGGTTTTTCTGTGCACCAGATGCTTTTTAAGCATTCTATATGCATAATTTCAACTGGATGTCTGTCCAATTGGGCCACATTCTGGTTGGAGAGAGGACACCACACTTCACTACCATAGAGAACAATTGGTTCTATGACAGACTCCAGGAATTCTATTCTATTCTATTTTAATCTAAATTAGATTTTTTATTGCGTAGAAACATTATAATAATTTTACCCCAGTATTCATTCACTACTCTAATTTGTTTTGGTAACAAATTGCTGAAATTTGCATTTATGGCTTCCCCTAGAGTTACTTCACTCTAACAAGGAAGTGGTTTATCATTTCCAACCCAACTGCACCGCTCAGAGTGGAGGCAATGTGGTTGCTCCATGCATCATTGGTTCTACCATCACCAATCTGAACTTCATTATCACCTCAACGGGCCAAGGTAGATATGAGACATTGGATTAGCTAAGGCTAGGGTTTAGGGCTTGGCTAAGGCTTTTTTCTTCTTTTGCAGGATCTATTGTTTCTTCAAAAGAAGCATCGAACCATGACACTGCAGACATCAGTGATGATCTGAAGCCCCAAAGTGAGTACTACTCTTCCATATTTACCATAAATGTGCATTTCCTGAATGTATAACAAACTCGAAATAACCCTTTAAGCATTTCCTCCTTTAGAAGACAAGATCACAGAATGTCAAGAGGAATTGAAAGCTAAGCTGAAGAGGAAGTTTGGCCACCTGCTGCAGGGGATGATGACTGATGCACACAGGACACCTCTCAATAAGATCTACACAGAGCTCTACATCACTGAGGGAAGAAATGGTGAAGTCAACAAAGAGCATGAGGTGATACAGTTTGAAACGGCCTCCAGGAAACATGCGGCCCAGGAGGAATCAATTCACTGCAATCAGCTCTTTGTTCCTCTACGAGACCACCCCATAAGAACTGTGATCACAAGGGGAGTCGCTGGCATCGGAAAAACCGTATCTACCAATAAGTTCACACTGGACTGGGCTGAGGGGGAAGCAAACACCAACCTGGGATTTGTATTTCCTTTGTCTTTCCGAGAGCTGAATCTCATGAGGAAGCAAAGCTTCAGTCTAGTCGAACTTCTCAGTGTCTTTTTCCCGGAAACTAATGAGACAGGAATCTTCAGGAATGCCAATAACACAATGCTCTTCATCCTGGATGGTCTGGACGAGAGCCGCCTGTCTTTGGACTTCCACAACACTGAAATAGTGTCTGATGTGACGCAGAGGACCACAATTGATGTGCTTCTGATCAACCTCATTCGGGGAGGACTCCTTCCCTTTGCTCTCGTTTGGATAACATCTCGCCCGGTAGCCTCCAGTCAGATCCCTATGGAATCTGTTGATCTAGTGACAGAGGTGCGGGGGTTCAACGAACCCCAGAAAGACGAGTACTTCAGGAGGAAAATATGCGACCAAAACCTAGCAAACAGAGTGATCGCGCATGTGAAATCCCACAGAAGTCTCCACATCATGTGCCACATACCAATCTTCTGCTGGATGGCGGCGAGTGTTCTTGAGAAGAAGTTGCAGACGACTGCGAGTAAAGACACGCCAAAGAGCCTTACTCAGATGTACATACACTTCTTGTTCTTGTACGTGGAGGACATCAGGAAAAGGTTTCCTGAAAGAACTGAGTCAAATGCAAAATGCATGAGAGATATGCTCATGTCGCTGGGTAAACTGGCCTTCCGGCAACTCGAGAAGGGCCACTTGATCTTCTACGAGAGCGACCTCAACTCGGACGGTATTAATGTTTCCCAGGCGTCCATGTTCTCAGGAGTCTACACACAAATCTTCAATGAGCAGCTGACACTGTGCGAGGAGAAAACATTCTGCTTTGTGCATCTGAGCATCCAGGAATTCTTTGCTGCATTGTATGTCTACCTCAAGTTCCACAACGACAACGAAAACGTCTTGGTAAAAAAGCTGTCCGCGTCAAGACGCTACCTGTTCCAAGGACCATCAGAGTTCATCCTATACAAAGAAGCGGTAGAAAAAGCTTCACGGAGTGATGAAGGACATTTTGACATCTTTCTGCGCTTCCTTCTGGGCCTGTCTCTGGAATCCAATCAGACTCTGTTGAAGAACCTGATGACCACCAACAGATCAAAACCGAGAACCAGGAAGGAGATCATAACACACATAAAACAGAGGATCAAAGAAAGCCCATCCCCAGACAGATGCCTCAATCTCTTTCACTGTCTGAACGAGCTGCATGACCAGTCCCTCATTGAGGAGATTCAGAGCTACCTCAGCCCAGGCAGTCTCAACAAAGCCAAACTTTCTCCTGCGCAGTGGGCCACTCTGGTCTTTGTTCTACTGACATCAGAAAAGGAGCTGCTTGTGTTCGAACTGAAGGACTACACCAGGTCAGAGGAAGGTCTCCTGAGGCTGCTGCCTGTCATGAAAAAAGCCAGAGATGCAAAGTAAGTGATTTCTAAAAGCATACAGCAAGCTCTTAAGGTCCTTTTTGAACCTGATGTTAAAGATACGCAGCTTTAGTGCTCGGATTATTTTAGAAATGAAGAACATGCGATCTAGGAAACTTTAGAAAAATAAACACTAGCCTAAGACTGTGTGGTCGGGTAAGGCCTGATATACTTGAGACGAACTGCATGATGGGGAAAAAAACACTGGTTGGCAGCTCAAGCAAGATATTTGCCTCGGAGCGATTAATACATAATAGGTAATAAAAAGGTTCCTTTGGTAGAAGATAACAAGAGTACTCCATTTAGAAATGGGAAATGTGAAACTTGAGTGGTTTTGGCAATTAATAGAATAATTGAGTAATGTGAATGATGTCACTTGTAGTAACATACAAGTAACACACATTAGAGAAAATAATACCCTTCAGCTTTCAGAAGCGTTTTCTGTGTTTCTGCCACCATTGAAGGGTAAGTGTGTTCCAGTAAGTGTGCTTCTAATTTTCTGAGGGAATGTATTGTAAATGCAAGGGCTTTCATCAGTGGACTCAGTAAGAAATAGGTAGTAACTTAAAGGACATGTTTTTAACAACTTTTTGACCTGAAATATCAATAACTTTGCCTTATTCCAAATGGAGTAATTGGTAATGCATTTTAAATGTGCATGATGTTAGGTGGCGTTTCACATTGCAGTTGTTTAAAATTGGGAAGCTTGTGCCCCCATAAGATCCCAGACATTTTGTGATGACATTATACTTCCCTTTCTCATACCACTTTCTTCTTGCAGTCTAAATGCATGCCATCTTACGGCTGCTTGTTGTAAAATCCTGGAGATGGGCATCCACTCATCCGAAATCAGAGAGCTGGACCTAGGCAACAACAACATCACAGATGATGGAATATTAGTGCTTTCTGATACATTGAAGAACAGCAAACTTGAGAAACTAAGGTATAAACCCAACAATAAGTATATATTTTTAAATCCCAGAAAGTCAAATAAAGATGTTTTTATCAAGCAGGTTATTTTCTGTTTGTTTAGACTGAACAGCTGCAACCTAACAGACCGCAGCGCCAGGGTTTGGGCCTCTGTGATCAGCTCAGATACCAACCAGCTGAAAGAACTGGACCTCTCTCACAATGACCTCATGGACGTTGGAGTCAAAGAGCTCTCTGTAGGACTGGGGAGTCCTCACTGTAAACTGGAAATACTCATGTGAGTGCCTTGAGTGAAATTGCTTTCCAGATGAATTATTTAACAGCAGAATACTGAACAGAGCCAAACATGCAAAGTCAGTTGTTACTGTTGTTGATAACGGAGATCAGTTGGATTAAATGTCTTGGTGTTTTGAAGGTTGGCCTATTGCAGCGTGACAGAGGAAGGCTGCACTTTTCTGGCATCTGCTTTGAACTTTTCCCGTCTCAAAGAGCTCGACCTGAGCTACAACCACCCGGGACCCTTGGGCCTGCAGCTGCTGTCTGCGCTGAAGGAGGACCCTCGCTGCAGTCTGCATGAACTCAGGTAGAGGATGACAAAATAGCCAGCAAATGTAGCTTATCACAGATGTATTGGTGTACAACGCACGTGCAGAGGATGTTAGAGAGGAAGTGGCTCAAAAGCATAAAAGGGCCCACGGTCGATTTGAGTTACCAAGTAAAATATATATATATAATGACAAATGTTTGTGACCATGTTAAATTAAGATTAAAATGTATTTATTGAAAACAATCAATGATTAAGGGTTTCAACACTGCTTCATGACAGTTATTTAAAAATAAATGCAAAGAAAAGAAATGTATTTTTAGTAAATTCTCTGAATACAGTAACTAGCCCAGCTCTGACCTCGTCCTCTGACTGACAGGAGCTCTGCTGCTGACAGAAATTCACTTCCTTTCTCACTTTTCCTTTTCCATGAAGGCATACACACTGAATACATACAACTTATTTTGCTTCAGTATTAAAAGTGCAGTAGCTTATTCAGCTGGATAAAACACTGAGCAATTTTACCCTCCATGTAACGTTTTTATATTCTCTTAAGTGAAGTTGTCCAAAGCTTCAGCTGTGGCTTAAACAGTTGGCTAATTGCACTGTTCATCATGTAATGCTAATGTTGTTTACTGCAGGCTAATTCACTTTAAACTGAATTATTTATTTACCGCTATTCACAGTATCAGCCGCCACATACACACACACACACACACACACACACACACACACACACACACACACACACACACACACACACACACACACACACACACACACACACACACACCCTTACAACAAAGTGCAAACTGTTACTGTTTTGATTTGACAACATTACATTGAGTTATTAAGGTTTTATCTGAGTTACATTTTAACCATTCAATACATTGCAATAATAAAATATGGTTGAGATGATTTCAAATTCATACTTTGGATACCGCTTTTAAATATTCTACTTTATAACTTTAAAATGTATCACTTTATGTAAAATATTTATAAAGCCTTTTGCTGTATTATTGGGTATGGAGGAAAAACAATGAGTTGAAATCTCTCTTGAAAAATCTCTGCTGCATTGATTCTGACCCTTTGCAGACAAACACAATCATTGGGAGTAGAATAAGAGTGAAATGTTGAATTGGTCAATTACTGTTTTAACCATATTGTTTTCAAGTGACGTACGTGTCAAAAAACTGGTCTTATTTGGTCTTTTAGTGTGGAACAGTGTGGTGAATCCAGGATTCAGCCAGGTCCAATGAAATGTGAGTAACCAACACTCACTCACTCGGCATTGATTGACATTCTTTGAGTCAATTATCGAATACATCAAATAAATAAATACAACTTGATTATCACTCTCGATCTGTTTCATCAGACACCAAGGAACTCACCCTAGACCCGAACACAGCACACAGAGACCTCTCTCTGTCCGAGGGAAACAGGAAAGCCACGCGTTGGACCAAGCAGTCGTATCCTGATCATCCCGAGAGGTTTGACTTCTGGACCCAGGTGCTGTGCAGGGAGGGGCTGGCGGGGCGCTGCTACTGGGAGACCGAGTGGACAGGGAGAGCCTTCATAGGAGTCGCCTACAGAACCATGTGCAGGAAGGGAGAAGGTCACGAATGCTGGTTAGGCAAAAACGACTCTTCCTGGGGACTTTTTTGCACCAAAGAGCGCTACCAGATCTGTCCCGCACACATGAAGATTGATTTAACCATCCTACCCAGCTACAATTCCAACTCAAACAAAGTGGGAGTCTATCTGGACTGGTCTGCAGGGAGACTGACTTTCTTCAGGATCTCCTGTGGTGCAATGACCCTCATCCACAACTTCGACACCACCTTTACTGAGCCTGTGTACCCGGCGTTCTGGCTGGGCTGGGTGGACTCCACAGTGTACTTGTGAATATCAGTGTGACATAGTGACACTGAGGTTAATCCAGAATATCCACTTTTATCCATCAATGTATATAGGAAGTGAAAGTTTGTGGACCACTTTTTGAAAGCCTTGGTTTTGAATTGCAACTCCCACGCCACTTTTGTGATCAAGGTTCTGCTATTTTATGTCTCATGTAGCCGGAAGGCAAATTAGGGTTTTCATGGACTTCCATTTCATATTCGTTTTTAACCTCAGCAATATTGCAGGGTTAACTTGTTACCTGTCTGTTTTGTGTTGTTTATATGACTTTGTTGGACACTCTAATGCAGTGGTTCTCGACTGGCCTCGGGACCCACTTTTTCCTTTGTCAATAGATCGCGACCCGAAATTTATATATTATATTCCTTCTCAGACTAAAGTATGCTTTTAAAAAAGGTTTAATGAGATGATGGAATCAAAGCTGAACTGTATAACATAAAAAGGCCCACATGCTGAAAACCCAACCGCAGAAGGGGGGTGTGGGGGGATTTTTAGAAATACTAACATATGAACTACGCATTCTGGTACACTGAGAAGAAAATAAATAAATCTATTACTACCCGACATATTAATAATATTTTATGCCATTGTTTGTTTTTCACTTAGTTCTGACAGCTTGCTGCTCCACTCAGAGAGAAGAGCAAAGAGGAGAGAATCTGTGTGAATTACTTTAAATTGTGGGTAGATAGCTCCCATTGCTCTGTGAACTGTCAATCATCCAACCGGGGGTCATATTGCATTATGTGTTCATTTTTATCTGAAGTTGTACCCATGGATGCATAAAGAATAGTTCTACCGCAAAGTTATTCTCCGTGGGGACTTCCGGCAACAATCGTGATTCTGATTGGCCAGAAGACTCGAAAAAACATCGGCAAAGATGTTTTATTGAGAAGATGATCACTACGTGACAGAAGTTTTCAAAACCGTCTATGGTCTCGGGTACTTCCAGTCCAACGCCTACTGCATGCACAGCGTTAGAAAATCGGGCCTTCAAAATAAAAGTTTGACTTTTTCAAAAAAATGTAAATTAAAATTAAAAAAATTTAATTCTTCACTCACACATCTGCGACCCACTCGAAAAAGAAGAATCCTGAATCTGCTTACATACATTCATATGAAATAGGCTAAAATCCAATAAAAACGGGTGTGTCTTACCTGTCTAGTGTAGTTATACAATGCTTTATTGATTTGGGGTCATAAGTTCACATGACATGGAAACTATTGAAAAGATTAGAGACTTTCATTAAAAACTGCACATTTTTTGGTTAAAGTTATTCATATATTGATCGAAAAAGCACTAATCAAATAAAAAGGCTGTGTCTTATATTTCATGTGCATTTTAAATATCTGGTATTGACTCGGAGTCACTTGTTCACTAGGAACGAGAGACATTTAAGTTGTTATAAAATAAACGATTCCTGAACCTAAAAAACCCCGAATATGAACATATTAATCAGAATCTGAACTAATATTCCCACATTTATCTGCAGGACAGGCTGTTAAGAGGAAGTGAAAGCAATGTTTCATAACATGTTATTATAGAATATATATATTTCGTAATATCACTTTCCTGAAACAACAAAAAGAGAAGGATGAAGCATAATGTGGAGTTTCACTTTAACAATCATTTTATTAGCAGTCCCAAGAGGCAATGAAAAAAAAGAGGACAAATCAAAGAGAAAAAAGGAACAGAAATTAACAGTCAAGACGTTGGGCCAATCGAAGTCAGTGAACGTAAAGACGGAACAGAGGGCTACACACACACACCAAATAAACACAAAAGTCACAACGTTAAAAAAAAAGGACATTAAGTGATGAATAAAGATTAGATTTAATCTCACAGGTAATGTATAGTGTGTGAGTGTGTGTGTGTTGGCTGATCCCTCTGTTCCTCAGCAGAAATTCACCAGGACCGACCCCACATTCAAACAAACACACACACACAAACTGACACACTCATTCACACAGACACACATATATCAAAAAGCCAGTCAGGGCGTCTTCCTCTCTTCAGTAAAAGCCAGGATTTTATATTTTGGCCATTTGTGACAGCGAAACCAACCATCAACACACCACAGCTGTCCAGGCAGTTATTTAAAATTGTTTTTCTTCTATTCATTCTGTACAGATTATATATTTTATTTACACACTGAACAACATCAGTGCGGAGACAATTTAAAATCAAAACATTAGCTGATATATCTGCAGTCGTTCTGCACTTATTTCTGTCTTCTAAAAAAAAGAAATCGGCTTTGCTTTTTTTAAAGTACAATTCTCAGAACGTTTGATTCTTATAAAGTCACAGCACTGCAGCAGACTGAATTGACCCTAGAAAGAAATAATGATTATTTCCCATTTATTTTGTGTCAGTCCTTCTCTTTGCTGCATAGACGTTGAATAAATATAGGCCCCCTCTCATTCCAGAATCATTGACAGTGATTTAAAATGCACATCTGGTTCATCGGTGACCAAACATCTGAGCCAGATGTTCGCAACAGTAACGGAAACTCAACTGAAGCTGATTTAAACAAATCCGGATTATACCAATTACTGGATTAACACAGAAGCCTTTATTTTCAGTTTACTTGTGGAAAATAAAATCAGATTTTACATTTCAAGATACTCCGTAAATCCATTCTGTTGTCCGACTCGAGTTTGAGCTCTTCCTGTAACTTTTTAATTTGACTGCTCTTACTGAAAGCAGGAAGTAAGAATAGGGGCAATGAGTGAATAATCCACACACACACACACACACACACACACACACACACACACACACACACACACACACACACACACACACACACACACATGATGGGAGCAGCGTGGGGAGGGAGGTACTAAAGCAATGATTAAAGGGGAGAAGAGACAGAAAGACCAGCATTTATTTAATTCCATTTGGGTTATGTAGATGTCCTTCACTCTATTGGGATTCAATCATATAAAAAGTGTTTGCTATCCGAGGGTCGTTAATAAACCCAAAACAGCCTTTCAGTGCTAGTAATACAGACAGTTCACCGACTACAGTCAACACCCGCGGTCACTCACTCAGTCTGTTGCATACATAATTGTTCACTTGTGTATATACATTACTCTCCCTCGTCAGTTATTTTGCTCCTGCTGTGTTGGAGAAGTACATTTGAGGGAAGAGTAAAGCTCTATGAACACCTCTTTCTCACACACACACACAAACACACACACACAAGGATGTCTGTCAGCTGGTGTCTCAGCCGACAGACAGCAAGGAGAGCTTTAGTTTATTAGGTTAAAAAAAAAAAAAAAGATAAAGCGCTTTCTTTCACAAGGAAGGGTAAACCGAGGGAGGGGGGGGGTCATACAGGTGAAGGTGGGAACGTGTAGGTCTAGCTGAGAAGCTGGCGGATCTCCTTGTGCATGTGACACACGGAAGTCCACGTACTGACGCTCCCCCGCCAGACACTCTTGTCCTCCACCAGGAAGTGCCTGAATATCAGCTCAGCTTTGTCTTCCTGTTTCACCACCATGAGCTGGAAACAAGGAGAGACGGGGGGGTGGAGAGCGGGAAGGGGGTCGAAACCTTAAAGTGCTGTACCATCAGGTGTCAAATACTGCAAAGTAGGGCTGCATTTAGGATTATTTTCTCAATAAATAAACTAATATTCATATTTAAAGTGGACCTATCATGCTATATTTGAAACATATATTGTAGGGCCATACCTATACAAAACATGTCTGTGAAGTTTTTTGCTTAAAATACCAAACAGATCACCCATTGTAGCCATGCCTCATACTGCTCATTCCCCTCTTTTGAAGCCCTGCTAGAGAAACGCGGATCTTGGGTCCTTAGCTTGAAAGAAAAGAAAGAAGAGGAGGCGGAGCTAATGCCTGATCAGA